TCCCTTTGAGTCCTAATACCTGCTAGGAAGACTAACTCTTTAGTCAGATTTTGTGGTAGTGATAACTATATGATTTATCTTCAATTCAAGCTTTTCTTGCAGTAAGGATACTAAAATAACTCCTTAACTTGCACTACATAATTGATGGAATATAACTCTTTCCTGCCCACGTGATACTGATTAAAGTCTTTTTAGATGTCAAGTGAACATCATAAAGTGTTAGTCTATAAAGATTCAAAGTAAAAAAATTCTGTTTTACTTTATTGGACATTTGCAAAATTACCAACAGCTGAATTTAAAAGTAACAAAGCAATGGCTGGATGCGTAAACCAGAAATGAGAATATTCATGGTATGGTTTTTAAAAAAGGATATAGGAATCTATATCTACTAAATAGGAATCATGTTTTATCACATCATTGCAAGACTCTCATGGCCATTAATAATTATTCAGTCACCTGGGATAATAGTACTTTTTCTACTGCTCCAATTAATCTACTAAAATTTTAGAAGATATTGCTGAAATAAGTTTTTTGCAGAAGTTCTATATGAATCATATTTTCCAAAATAGCAAGAGGGAATTTTTTTTCAGTTTTATATGTAAGAGCAGTATGTAACTTTTGAAAATGCCTCTTTCAATAGATAGACCAATATTAAAATAAATACAGAAATACTTAACAAGTGATTACTCAGGAAGAAAGTTTTAGTTCACCAGTCACTAAATGCTAACTTGAATATTTCTGAATGATCAACAGCTTCTCATTTCAATGGTGGAAATCTTTTAAACATATCATATAGGTGAAATGTGTCACAATGTGGCACTTAATATTGTTTAGAAAATGAAAATAAGTTACTCTGTCTGGGTCTACTTTAGTGCAACTGAGCAACTACTATCTTATTACAGAAGAAAGTAAGAGGAGAGGCTTTAAGTGATGATTTTTTTCAAAAAGGAATAATTCTTTGCTATCGTAGAGTAGCTTGCACTCAAGGGATTTCAACTCATCACTTGATAATCATGAATTCACAAATGCACCCACAGCACATCTGTGAAAAATAGACATTATTGCTATTTTACAGATGAACAGAATTGAGACTTGAGATCATACTGGTAAACTGGGAGAGAGAATTGAGACACAAATTTCAAGTGCATAGTTTGTGGCACTCAGTATAATGGTTCCTCAAAGATAGCTCAAATCCTAATCCCAAGAACCTATAAATATGTTTGGTACCATGACAAAGGAGAATTAAAGTTACAGATATAAATACGGTTGCTAATCAGCTGATCTTAAAATAGGGAGAGCATCCTGGATTATCCAGCTGGGTTCAATATAGTCACGAGGATCTTTTGAAGTAGAAGGGGGAGGCAGAAGATGAATTCAGAACGATGTGTAATGAGAAACACTTGACTCACTCTTGTTGGCTTGAATGTGGAAGGGGAATGTGGCAGCCTCTAGAAGCTGCAAAAAGCAAGGAAACAGATTTTTCCCTCAGAGCCTCCAGGGGAGTATGTAACCCTGCCCACACCTTGATGTTAGCCCAGAGAGAGCCGGTTGGGCCTCTGACATACAGAACTGTAAGATAATAAATCTGTGATGTTTAAGCCACCAAATTCGTGGTAATTTGTTATAGCAACAATCAAAAATTAATAGCTGCTTAATCAATTAGGAGCAATTAATATAAAACAGTCATTAAGAAAGACTATAAATAATAAACTAAAGCAACCAAAGAATAATTTAACTTGGAAATGCAAGTCCATTTTGAAGTAATAAAAGTAGAAACACACAGATTCTTTGGCATAAAGAAAGATGGAAAAGGAAAGATGTGAGAGGAATTTTTTTTCCTCTTCCACTCGAATACTAGAAGAGAAAGGAAATTATAAAAAGAACACATTTATCTAAAGGATGAGGTAAGAGTTTTTAAAAGTCTACTTGGAATAGCCTTCCAGGAGAAGTTTTGGAATCTCTGTCCCTAGAGATAGCTTTAAGATACACAGTGATGTATTTTATCTACCCTGGATGGCTTAGATATATACTTGCCTGATGACAAGGGCCTAGACAAGACAATCTCTCCTGGACTCCTCCAGCCAAAATATTCTACACAGACTTGAGTCAATTCAATTCAGCGCCACAATTATTTACTGCCTATTTACTCAATGTAAATCATTTCCTATGAATAAACAAAGAATAACATAAACCCTGACTTCAAGAAATTCAGTTTAATAGCGAACCAAGGTAAACAGTCAACCCTATGCAGGCTAGACAGTGAGAAGAATCATAAGGGCTGGGTACATGAAATATTGATTAAGCCTCATTAGATATGTAAAAATCAATGCACTCTTATTGATCATAAAACAATATTATAGGTCACCACCAGAGACTATCAGAGCACCAATTTATTACAATGAGAATTTATCCCAACCTTCCTAAAATTCTATGTAAGGAAAATTTTTAAAAATAAACTCTTTATTGTAGAATTTCAGCTAAAAAAGGCAGAATGATAGAATTAGATTATAACTAGACTGTGTCTAGAATGTATCTAGAATATAAAAATTACCATTTTAGAAGCCCTGTATAAAATAATGGATCTGGGAAATAATCAGCAGTGGATCTGGGCAATAATCAGCAATAGATGCAAAAGCTATTAAGTCGTAATTTGATGGTGAATTTTATCATGGAGGGATCTGACCGAGATCACCTAAACACACCAAACAGTCTTAACATCACTGAGCATGACATCAGCCATTTATGTGTCTCTTTTCGTGAGTTGTTAGGAAATACATAGTGCCATCTATAAAGTATTCTTTCCCCCAATAAGCTGAATCCAAATTTAGCACAGCTTCCAAATCTACGTATTTTTTCATGGGTAATATAGGACAGGGAGGAACCAGTTAAAAATTACAGAATGGAAGCAACCAGTCAAATGCAGAATGTGGACCAGGATGTATGAGCCAAGTATTCCAGCAAATCAGTGACATTTAAGAAGGGAGGAAAGAGAGAATTGTTATAGGACAAAAGACACTTGAGACATAACAACCAAATGTAACATGGATACCTTGTTTGGATCCTGATGCAAGAAAGAAACAACTCGAAGAAAGCATTTTTAAGATCAGCAGAGAAATTTAAATATGGACTAGGTATCAAATGATATGGTAGGATTATTATTATAACGTGATAAAGGCATGGCATTACTCAAAATATTTCTCATCTGTTAGAGATGCATACTGAAGGGTTCGCAGACTTAAAAATACGGTATCCAGTTATGCTTTAAAATCCTGTAATAAAAAATTGTGTGTATGAAGAATACATGGAACAGGATCAGCAAAACAGTGATCTGTTTTCAAGTTGCATGATGAAACATGAGGGTCATTGTAATATTTTCTCTCCTTAGATATTTGAACTTTCCATAATAAAAAAAATTAAAGGACAACAACAGTAAGTAAATAAAAGTGTGCTGGGTCCATCTGATTATCCCTCATCACTGAGCTACTGAAACCTTGGTATATTTATACCAGAATTTTTCTTTCCTTTTCTGCACACATTTTTCACTAGCAATATGACTTCTAGCCCTTTAAGATTGAACACTTTTCACCTCTGATGGAAAGGAAGTTTACAATTGACTAAATTCTCAATCGAAATAACCAAGGGGAAAAACTATCACAAATAAAATATTACTTCTGATGCTCAATAAATAAAGGAGCAGTGGACCTGCCTCTGTGTGTGGGGTGAGTATATAGTTTCCAGGCACTTTTTGTAGTAAAGAGTGAATGTGGTGGGGGAATATTTGCAAAATTTCAAATTCTTTGGTTTACATGGTTAGGGTTGGTGTTTTAACATTGGTCAAAAGTGCGTAATTCTCAAATTTTTTTTGGCAACAAACTGTAATGTGTTTGTTTTAAAACAATTATCTTAGGTAAAATCTAGTCTAGATGTTTAATTAATAATGTTAGTCTCCTGTCTGATTTTAGAGTACAACAGACTTCTCTATGAGGAGCAAGGGGCTGCAGGACAAAATATATTTCTCTTCAAATGTTCCCTGCTTATATGCATGAATGCTGGATGTGATCTACGATAGTGCAAGTGACAGGGTTAAACATGGCAACTTCATGGAAAGGCTCTTCAGCAATAATCCTAGCAGTGGAGCAAAATACAAATCTCATCTGAGACATCAGAAAGCTTTTGAAGGCATTCATAATAGATGATCCCCTTTTCAAAAATATTATCCTTTTAAAAAAAAGTTTTATTTTTGCAAATAATTTTTCTGAACAAGGCCTAAAGATGCTTACATCCTCAAATTACATTGTTAATGGGATTAAAACCATTTCCAAGGAAATGTAAAATTTTATCATACCTGCAAAAGCTTTTAATTTTTTAATCTTTTTAAATTTTAAAAAATGTAATATATTTTCTTTTCTTTTTTAGAGGTAGCTTCTCATGAAGTTATTTTCCACCAGAAGAATGTAAAGACAGAACAGGGATGGGGCGCCTGGGTGGTTCAGTCAGTTAAGTCTGCCTTGGGCTCAGGTCACTGAGCCCCTCATCGAGCCCTGCATCGGGCTCCCAGCTCCACGGGAAGCCTGCTTCTCCCTCTCCCACTCTCACTGTCTCTCTCTCTCTGTCAAATAAACAAATAAAATCTTAAAAAAAAAAAAAAAACCCAGGGAGAAAAAGTAATCCAAATAAACAGGCTATGTTACAGAGATCTAAACCAGGCACTTTAGCTTACTTTTCCTTAGGCAATTTAAGTTCTCTGGTCAAGGATTGTAAGGATAACGGCAACAAAGGTGATTGTCTCTATGGTACATGCGAGTTTGCATTCTGTATTGTTTCCACACAAAGCACTGCGCTATCTAGGTTACAACAGTTATGTAAATGATTTGTAACTTTGGCATTTGGTTTGGCTGAGATGTAGAAGACAGTGTGCTTGCCTTCAAGATTTATAGTTCACGAGGTACCCATTACCTGTTACCTCTCTTCTTCCCATGCCTGAAACCCAAACATCTTACCGACCACAGCCTCCGTGAATTTCCCTTCCGCTGGAAGAGGGAAGTACTGGTTTGGTGACAAGTTGCTGCCATATCCCAGGAGAAAACCTTCTAGTTTTACATTTGGATTTGGACGTAGGAACTTCAAGAGGATAGAGTCGCTTGTGGTATTGATGTGGACTTTCAGGCTTGGCCTTTTACCTAAAGATGGGAACACAAAATACAGGGCTGTTATTTTACCACTTTAGCATCCCAGGGCAAGTTTGGGGCAAAGGTTAGTTGCTAGAGGTATTGTTATTAGAAAGCATGCTATCTACTTAGCTACTCAATATTCCAACACATACACCCAAACTGCTAAAGCACGGGTAATTTTGAGATCCAAAAACCCAAACTACATAACACAGAAAGCAGTATAGAACACAAAGTAAAATTTCAGGGCTTAATATTTGGTAATTTATTATTGAGCAGGTAGATGTGATTTAAGGCTATTTTGGTTATCCAATAGTCAAAACCTTCATTGAATATATATTGTCTGGGAATGTTCAAAGGATCTGAAATTTCTTATTAGTAAATTTAACTACTGCACTTTGAAAACCCCAGCCTCATCAATGCTGCCCTCTAGCTGTATCCCCAAAAGACAGAAATTGATATGTAGAGTTGGAAACAAAGGGACACGGGTTGGGGGGGTCAGCTTAGGGAGAATAGGGAGTTCTGAGAGAGTTGATAAATGGAGGAGAAAGATTTTTAGGTCTATTTGGGGCCCGCAGGGTCAATGAGACAACTACATGGAGATGACCCATGGGAGGTTGAATAATCAAGTGTGTGATGCTCAGGACTAGAACACAGATCCATCTGGACGTCATCAGTGTCTAAATAACCATTGGATGAACTTTCCCAGAGAGACTGTGCAGAATGAGGAGAGAAAACATAAATTTTCAAGGCTTTTTTTTTTTTTTTAAACTATGTAGGCAACAGGGGCAGATTATCACCCCAACCAGAAGTCTTGACTAAACAGTGAGTAAACAACATTGTCTTTTGTCTTTGGGACCAGAAGGAGCGGAGTTCAAATACCAGCTCTGTAACTTAATTATCAGTGGGGCCTCTGGCTACTCACTGAACATACTACACCCTGAATTTCTTGATTTGTAAATTATGAATACTGGATAACCATGTCCACTTTGATGGGTTGTTTACAAAGATTAATGCAAATGGCACTGCCTTAAAGCTGGCACATAGTAATTGCTCAATAATTGGTTACGTAATGAAGGCCATCTATAACATTTTAGCCACAAGACAGAAATCCAAAACGGCTTTGTAAGATTTTTTGTAAATTCATATTAAACTAATTTGGTAACAAAACCCAATCTGAACCATATGAGGCCACTAAGTATTTCTCAAATCTCACTGAATAGTCTGTGTAATTATTCACATGTTTAATTGTAGGAATATTAACATGTTTAATTAAGGGGTGCTAGCCACGCCTCCACTGAAGAGGTCTAGACAACCTAGTACATTTCTAAAATCCAAAGATTTTCTGAATTCTAAAACATGTCTGACCCCAAGAGTTTTAGATACGAGATTGTAGATCTCAATTATTTTCTTTCTTTATTCTAAAGAGATTTAATATTTTTAGAATATTTTACCCATTGGAAAGATGGCATTTATTAATTTAGTAATCCACATTTGATTTCTCATGATTCAAAGATTTATATTGCATTAATACCAGTCAGTACCTCTGAAAAGCATGGCTTCCCGAAGTCATCACACTAAATTTATACTATTCCAGTCAAAATTAGCCTGGCCTGCCTCAATATCGCTACATAAAAGGATTCCAATAGGCCTTTGAAAAAGTACAGATAGCCCCTTCTTGGATACCAGGTTGTGGGAACCACTGTCTTACCTCAGCTGCCAGTACTACTATTTCCAGGTATGTACATAGTTCTTTACACTTCCAAGAATTTGATGAAATTTCCATAAACTTCTAGATTCTCAAATTGCTATTCCTACATTTCTGGCAAAATTGAAATCCAGAGATATTGGGTGGTTTATCCAAGTCCAAGGAAGATTCATCTAGTCTAGCTCACCTAGTGCAATTCTCTCATATCACAAACAATGAAATTGAGGGCAGCCAGTTCTCTCTGTCACTCTGCAAGTTAAGTGCAAGGTCAAAACTGGATCTCAGTTCACACCAAGCTGTACTTCTTGCTCTGTTTTTATTTATTTTTTTAAAAACTTTTTTAAAGATTTTATTTATTTATTTGAGAGAGAGAGAGAGAGCGTGCGTGCACACAAGCATGGGGAGCGGCAGGCAGAGGGAGAGTGAGAAGCAGGCTCCCTGCTAAGCAAGGAGCCCAATGTGGGGTTCAATCTCAGGACCCTGGGATCATGACCTGAGCTGAAGGAAGATGCTTAACCAACTGAGCCACCCAGGCGACTCCCTGCTCTGTTTTTATTGAGAACGTCATCATTAGCCAATAGAGTAAGGAGTAGCCAACCCCCCAGACCATAATACTCAAATTGATGCCAGCTGCTAATGTTTTGTCCCAACTTCATTAGCTTTTGATGAGGGGATTTATACTTCAGCTATAACATAGATTTTGTCCAATTTTTCCCTTCTTAGTTAGGTGCCTAGATTAACCCTAGAGTCACTCCACTACCTTCGAATGTTATTAGGTCCCAGAGTAAATTAAAACACAGCTGGCCTGTTTCCAACCCCTTGCTGGGAAGCAGAGAATAAGGAATCTTAGTCAAACATGAGTGCAGCCTAAGTACCCTAAGAGCCAAGAGTCACAGCATCATCACATTAGACCTTTGCTCATAGATTTTGGCCTGATGTACCACATTACTCTTCCACTTAGAAAGTGGAAAGGATCGTGGCACCAAGTGAGGAAAAGGAAGGCTGTAAACAGAATTACTGACCAACAAAAGCAGAAGTGTTCTCATTTCCTCCACATGGGAATTTTCATGACTCCAGTCTTTGTCCCTTTCGTTCATGATTTATGTCCGCAAATACATCAACATCATGTAACTTTTTGAATGAACTGGCATCTAGCTGACCTACTTTCTCCAAAATTCTAATCCATACTACCCTCTGGAGCTAAACTTTTAAAAGTCTTGAAAAAGAGAGAAAGATGTACACAGACAAATCATACCTCAAAGCAGCATCACAAACTTCATATTCTGAGACTATCATCCCAATTGCTTATTTGAAGCTCGAAATTCAAGTCCCGTCATTATCCTGGCACACAATACTTCTTCCTCTATTACTTCTCAACATGTCTTATTTCTTTTTGGCCAGTATAATCTTCTCACATTCTGCAGTGCACTTTGACCTATGCTCACATTGTCACCCAGTATGGATTCCCTCTATCTTCTGTTTGTCTTCTCTACACCCCTCCATCCACTCAATTATTACACCATTGGTCTTTTCAGTGCTCAGCAAAAAGGTTAAGCAATTTTTGCCCTTTCAATCTGATTAAGTTTGTCAAGCATTCCTTCAAATGAATGTTTGGACTAGTATTCAATTTTACACTACTAGATAATTTCCCCTGATATTTTAGGGTATATCTCCATGCATCCTATAATAATTTTTAATCTTTGATAAGTTATTCTTCATCCTAATTCTAGTTTAATGGTTTGGAACACTAGTCATGTGATGAAACACTAGTCATGTGATGACAGTTCTCTTTCAATGTTAGTATGAAAACCTCTGGTGAATGCCATAAAGTAGAGTTAACAGAAAAATAATATAGCATGATATGAGCTTAACTAGGAAAACATTTATAAGCAAAATGGCAGATATGTGGCCCAGAAAAGTCCAGGAGTACAGAGTAATAAAACTACTAGAAAAACATTTTATTGTATCTTGTAAGAAATAAAGCCTAGACCAATCAAGAGTGAGACAAAATAAAAAATGTGATCGTTCCAGGAAAACACCACCATTATGGCTGAGGAAAAGATTGCACATTGGTAAAGTAGAACTTTGGATCTAGGACAGTTGTTTCTAATCCTCTTTTTGGAACATCCTAGGGTATCTCTAAATAGTTCAAAAGGGTGTTGTGAAATACTAAAAGAAAAAAAAGTCTTTCAAAATCAAATTAGGATTAATCCTCTTTTAATTTTTAAAAGTAAATACATGCCCAGTAGCATTAAAATCACATGTCTGTGTTTCAATAAAACTATATAGTTGACCCTTGAACAATGTGGGGGTTGGGACATTGGCCCACCATACAGACAAAAGTCTGCATATAACTTTTGACTCCCCAAAACTTAACTACTTATAGCCTACTACTGACTGGAAGTTTTACTGATAACACAGTCAATTAACACGTATTTTGTCTGTGATATGTATTCTATATTTGTATTCTTACAATAAAGTTAGCTAGAGAAAAGAAAATGTTAAGAAAATCATAAGGAAGAGAAAATACATTTCCAGTATTGTATTTATCAAAAAAAAATCTGTGTATAAGTGGACCAGTGCAGTTTAAACCCATATTGCTCAAGGGTCAACTATACTTGTAAAAATTGGCAGTTGGCTGGATTTGTCCACCAGGTCATAATTTACCAACTCCTGGTCAACATCGTTAGTCTTCTAGGAAATGCAAGTTAAAATCACAGTAAGATACCACATACCCAAGAATGGATACAATTAAGACTGTCAATAACAAGTGTTAGGCAGGGTTTGAAATAATTGGAGCCCTCATGCATATTTAATGTGAATGTTAAGTGGTGTGACCACTTGTGAAAACTGTTGGACAGCTACCAAATAACCTATCAGTTTCATTCCTAGGTATTTTTTGAGAAAACATGAAAAATAATGCCATGTTAAGACTTGTATGCAGATACTCAAAGCAGCACCAAACTGGAAATAGCCCAAATGTCCATCAATAGTTAAAAGGATAAACACATTATGGCTAACCCATACAATGAGGTAGGACTCAGCTACAAAACAAGACAAATTACTTATGTAATTCAACATGACTGAATCTCTTGTCTGGTGTGAGATCATGCCACTTAGCATGGGCAGGACCTTCCTCATCGCTGAGTAGTAGGCCTTTCTCAGAGAAGAAAGGCTTTCCTCCAATGGAAGGTCATTCAATCCTCTTGCCATTACAGCAACTGGTGAAATTAGTTTATTTAATAGTACCTAATATTATTATTCACGTTCAACAAATGGTATATATATAAAATCAGCAAGTCCT